ATTTAGTTTTGGTCACACTGGTCACACTGGTCACGCCGTTCAAATTTTAGTTTTGGTCACACTGGTCACACTAGTCATACTGGTCATTTGGGCACACTGGTCACACTGGTCACACAAAAAAATTTTAAAATTCACGCGAAAAGTCACACTAGTCACACTGGTCACTTGGGCACACTGGTCACACCAAAAAATTTTAAAATTCACGCGAAAAATTTAACTTTTTGTGGCGGAGGGAGTTTTAAAAATTTTAAAATATTTAAATTTTTTCATAGGAACCGAAAACTGTTTTCTCTCTCTTCTGTTTCTGTCATTGGGACCCACGCCAATGGGTATTATGGGAATAACATAATTATAAGGGTATGTTTTGAACTAACTTTTTTTTTTTATTTTTGCAGGGGTATGCCTTGAAGTCTTTGTAGCATAATAGGGGTATTTTTGATAAAAGCCTGGTCTGATGTCCGGTCCTATAGGACTTCAGATGGGTTCGGACCAGATTTCAGATTTTTTCTATTTAATAAAAAATAAATATTAATGTATAATAATAATAATAATAATAATAATAATAATAATAATAATAATAATAATTGGGGATATCGCCATAAAAACCCTGTACTCTTCCTAGGTCAACGAAAAAACCCTGTACTTTTTTGCTTACCAATTAAACCCTATACTTGGTATCATTAACCAATAAAACCCCAAACTTGTTAATAATTCACCGAAAACCCCCTGCGCCTGCCAACTCAAATAAATATGATGATGTGGCAATAACTTGGTTTCCAAGTTATGTACACATCATCAAAATTATGACACATCACCATTACAAACAAAAATAAATTACATAATTATTTAAATTAATTTATATACATATAAATTCACATATATATATATTAAATATAAAATTACTTATAACTAATAAAACATATATATATATATATATATTATAAATTACATTAAAAATAATATATATATATATACATATTATTTGTTAATATATATTGTATATATATTATTTTTT